TATCCCATACGGAGTGAGTAAATGAGTTTGAGTGTAGATTGGACGCGGATGACGTTTCTTATAGGTTTACGGCATTGAGATTTTCGAACTGCATATCAGTGAAATGGTTTGATTCCAATGTGTATGTGATGAGGCCGAGATCGTGACGTAGGTTGTGATCTTGAAAGTTGTAGACTATCGTTGAGAAGGAGTACAAAATTGGTAATACAATCGGTCACGGTTTTATCAATCGTGATTGAACCTTCCATGTACAGTGTGATGATATTGTGGTGATTTAGCCGCCGTCACACACGATGCGGCCAAGTACAGCTTCGTAGCTGCGCATGTGGACGAGCCTCAATCAATCGGTTTCGCCGTGGACAGGTGTAGCAAAACCTCCCCGTCTTTGGTTAACTTCCAATCTACCAAGTATTTTCTTCGAATAAACATATTTATACAAACAGGTTCCGTAATACTATCAACGTGCTATTCGTAAGCGTTGGGGTTCTTACTACTTTTGTTTACGCAGTTCCGGGTGAATGCGAATTTAGTACTCCACATAATTTCGGCTATTGCGATTACTACATATATAAAACCTTATTCCATTGTGCTATTGGCATCAAAATGAGACTAGCATACATCGGAGCAATATTTGAATGATAAATATCACATTTTATATTGTCGAAGTTATTACGATTAACTAAATGGACAAGAAACGTTAGACCCCAAGCCCATGCGTGATCTCGAATGGTATCTGATGAAACCTTCTGAACGTCGATAAAGGCTCTCCATGATCGGCACCATTATCCCAACATCTTGTGGAGCGTAGTCAAACACATATGGTGCAGTCTTTCAGAGGTCGCATCCACCAAGTAAGAGCAAAAATGATACTTCTCAAAAATTGTTTAATTTCCAAGTGTGGGTATTCTGCGCTGTGTTGCACGCGTTGAATATAGATTTCCATCTTGCGGTCCGATTGGAGGGCCCTCAATCGAATGGAAATAGAAGATAACCACAATCTGAGCTTCAGAGTATATTACGAGATCAAATGCGGTTGACATTTTAGTAAAGCCGAATAGGTCAGATAAGTCATATATCGTTTGTCAGTTTGTCGGGTTGGTGGATCCATTTCTGAGGAAATCCATTGAGGAAATCACTCGATGATTCCACTAGAAGCGAGCAATATTTCAGGTGCATCGATTGTCGGACACAGAAAGACGCTGATTGTCCTCAACACGAAGTGGCCACGTCTCGTAAACGTAGAGTTAGGCACCAAGAACCATGGTGACGTACACTTGTCCATTAAGAGAGAGCCGGATATCGTGGCGACACCACAAGTATCACAGGTTTTCGAAAGCTGCTGTAGTTCTCGCTATTTGGGGGTTCGATCTTCTCCACAACACGATTTTCGGTTATTATCTAACCACCGAGATTTTCAAGTTTGTAAGCTAACTCTGCTTGATCACCCTTAAGAATGAGTGCAAATACAAGCAGCTACGAATCTTGTAAAAGTATTTTGCACTTGGAAGACACAAAACGCATACCACAACTGGATAACTCAATCACCAATCGGTTCATAGCGCGTTCAACTGCCTGTATATAGTCACTCATCAAGGAGATATCATGAAAATATTCGAAGTGTATAACTTTATTCCGTGGGAGGAACTCAACTCCACCAGTTTGGAGATCAGACAAAGCACTCTGTAGAACATCTCGTATGTGAACGTTGAAGAGAAATGGAGGAGACATTGCAATCTTGTTGTACCTGTTCGTGACTGGGATATCCCATTTATCTTTGACGACGTTTCCAAGTCCCGTGCTTTCCTCAAACGGAAGTTAATGGAAGTTATTTGACTGACATCCCAAGATAAACTAAAATGTTGATTCGCCAAAAATGAACATAAAAGAATATCTCAACGCATTCTTGGTGTGTTCGGAAGTATTTTTACCATGTCCTTTGGGTGTTTCAAAGGGACTATACTGGGACCATTGTGACTATTATTTCGACTGGGTAGACACTTCTTATTTTCACATTCTTGGACTTTCCACATACGTACCTCTTTATGCTTAAAGAAACAGATTGGAAGAGATATTGAGGCGGAAGATTTCCCTCAGTGCGTAGAAATGCACCAATCTAGAAAACTTCATACCGTAGTAGCATCAGTGTTCGTGTCTCAGATTGCAATTGATAGGTGAGTGATAATAACTGGATGGTACCAAGTAATCATCTCAACTTTAGGTCTTGCAGTTACGGCTATTACTGTCGTTGAGGCTATTCCAGCGGCACCGCAAGAGTTGTGGATGAGAGAAGAACTGAGGTTGGATTATTACTCCAATGGTTGTCTTTTGTTTTCCCTCATTGAGGCTAGTAAATTGATTGTTTTGCCTTTCAATCATCTCATTTCATTGGTACCAATAGATGGTTATTATCAGAAGCGTGGTGATCATAGCCAAATATTTGCATAAACACTTGTTATTCAGGAACAACTCTTCTGACCACTCAATCTGCTTGCAGTCCAATTGGTTAATTCGGCTCGAGTCGGTTAATACAATTCTATGCCACTGACTGATTAGTCGTCCCACTCCCCTGGTTCCAATTTTGTTCTCAGATTTGGGGCTTATGATGACGTGCTATGTGCCTGCCAAGGTATCAATCTGCTTCGCTTTGTTCAATCTTGCCCTTGAATGTGGACTGTTAAAGAAGTAACATCTACTACGAATAAATTGACCAACAAGATTCGCATATTCATAACGAACAAGGTCATGTTGGTTCACATACAACTAACGGTCTACTCGGTTTGCGTAGGTAGCTTAACCCAATTCTTTTGTGCTTATTATTGACACATTTTAATGTATGCATCGCAAATTCCGGTGTTGTTTACGGTTTTCTCAATTGGATAATGCAACACGATTTTCTCGAGGCAAATCAAACAACGTCAAAATCTAGCTACTGCTACCGTGCTCAGTAGTAATATCAGACATTCAAAGCTCGAGGGGGTACCCACTGCCGAAGAATATCCAGTACATGAATCCTCCAACTTATCGATACTAGTTAGTATTTCTAGTGCGACTTGGCATCCAAAATCCCAATGCGCCACGAATTCATCATGCAAAATATAAATAGTAGTAAAGATGGCATGAATTGAATTTGAACTTTAGTGTCGGCTGCATGATTCGGACATTGGCTACAGTCACCTCGCAGTTCGAGGAATTCCATTCTCAGAATTGTGGAGCACATATCTGCAAAAATCGGTCCCTGATTCTGAATTATATATTCCAGCACGATAACACAGCCATTCAGAACTCAAATGCAGCCAAAAAGTGGTCACTGTTCCGTTGCATCAGTGACCCGGTGTAGTCAGCTGGCAGGCCTCGTCTCAATCAGGTTGATAACAATTGACGACTTATACCGCGTCGAATATATGAACATGTCAAACGTAGTATCAACAAACAAAATCGTGTATGCATTCGAAGAGAATGGAAGATTATCTGACAAAATATGATTCAGCCTCTGATGAGAAGCATGTCCAGAATGTGTGTTCATGTCGTTGAACAATTTTCAGATCTTAATAGACCTAATGTTTAGCGATCAGAAATCCTAATCAAGACTGATTACCACGTTTCTACTAGCAATTTTACTCTGAATTGTTTTCCAACGGAACACACATTTGTCGAATGTGATTCAGTATTAACTTACAGAATAAGTCCCCTAATCTTCTCTTCTCTCTGAAGACTTGGAGCAAATGTAAGTGCATCCACGAGTATGAATCAGATGTGAGTAGAACACGTTTGTCGCCTGGTGTATCATTCGGGTTATATTCGATATGTAGCAGAATCGCGACTTGTTGCTTGATTGTGCTTTATAACTACCTCACTAAGTTTCCTTGAGGAGAGTCGGGGATGTTAACTCGAGACGTCAGTACTAAGATAGAATGTGAACACCAAATACGTGACAATGAATAAGGAGTTCACTCGTCTGAATGCAAAATCTCTTCCGTCACGATGAATGATTGTGATTTTGCGTCAGGGAAAGGCATGATATGAAAGCCTACACTGCATTCACAAACACGTAAAGAGAGAAAATGTTGTTTGTCACATCAAACCAATAGGTATTTATTGGAAATTCAGAATAATGTTTGACTATGTAACTAATAAGTGTTCTTGATCGTTTCGTGAATTCGAATGGGTTACTTATCCGAAGAGATTACAAGACAAGTAAGAAATATCGCTTTAAACATAATCACAGCAAGCTCCTCAACGAGTTGTTCACATGATCAACTAATGGCAAACGTGTTCCTCATCGTTAGTGTAAAGATTTCAGTAGCTTGAATTGACTGTATGACTACGAGCACGGTATGAAAATTAGACTCAACGTGTCCTGTTTGAATGGAAATACTTTTCCCAAAACATTGTCAGATGGGCGTGGAGTTCTTAGATGTTGACCTTCGATCGAGCACTTTTGTTACTTTATTCATGGTATCAGTGGATCTGCGCAAACACGTTCACGTAGAATCTATACATCAAAGAATATACTAACTTGCTGCGTTTGTTGAACTTTGAACATCAAACAGTTTGACAATCATTGTGTCACCGTTTCTAATCATACAACTCTCAAAGGAACACCCAAAAAAGCTCGGGTCTTCGTTTGGAATTTGCACATCCTAACTGTGGACGTTTATGTATGCATATATGTATGTATACAAAATATATATGGGAGCATTTGAGCTTGATTAGACAGAACGACCGATAATTATCGAAAAATGCGATTGTTCATATTAGCCGTCCTCACGGTCGGAGTGCTTGGTTCGAATGATGATTTGTGGCATCAATGGAAGCGAATGTACAATAAAGAATACAATGGGGCTGACGATGAGCACAGACGAAATATTTGGGAAGCGAATGTGAAACATATCCAAGAACATAACCTACGTCACGATCTCGGCCTCGTCACCTACACATTGGGATTGAACCAATTCACGGATATGACATTCGATGAATTCAAGGCCAAATATCTAACAGAAATGCCACGCGCGTCCGATATACTCTCACACGGTATCCCGTATGAGGCGAACAACCGTGCCGTACCCGACAAAATTGACTGGCGTGAATCTGGTTATGTGACGGGGGTGAAAGATCAGGTGAGTATAGATTGTGAACACCCAATAATCCGATAATGATTTGATTTGAAAAGGGAAACTGTGGTTCCTGTTGGGCATTCTCAACAACCGGTACTATGGAGGGACAATATATGAAAAACGAAAAAACTAGTATTTCATTCTCTGAGCAACAACTGGTCGATTGTAGCGGTCCTTGGGGAAATAATGGTTGCAGTGGTGGATTGATGGAAAATGCTTACCAATATTTAAAACAATTTGGATTGGAAACCGAATCCTCTTATCCGTACACGGCTGTGGTGAGTACTACTTGTCTGTGCGCTCTTCCTCCGAGTCACTTTGCTTACACCTCCCCACACATTTTACCTCCCACCATATTGCACCAATTTGATCTCACAAAATATTCCTTCTCTTGTTCTCAACTACTTCACTCAATTCAATTATTATTTATTCACATTTCAGGAAGGTCAGTGTCGATACAATAGGCAGTTGGGAGTTGCCAAAGTGACTGGCTACTATACTGTGCATTCTGGCAGTGAGGCAGAATTGAAAAATCTAGTCGGTTCCGAAGGACCTGCCGCGATCGCTGTGGATGTGGAATCTGACTTCATGATGTACAGGTACGTGCTTTTATGTCATTCGGATGAGACGGATGATAAACTAAGTAGAGAGAGAGAGAGAGAATGAAAGAGGGAGAGAATATGTGAGACAGATAGGTTAGAGATTTTCAATTATCAGTTTACCGTTCGACTTTCCTCGTCATCGATACATGCGTGATGTACTAACCTACTCGTATGTATGACATATGGATTGCTGTATTCGATACAGTTGCTCACTGGATTGTTCAGACCGAATGACACTTGTGTTCTCTCCTTATGGAGTACGATATTCATCAAATTTGGCTTCATTTAGTTTTGACCAAACAGTTTGAACGTGTGTTTCACGGGTAACAAATGGGCTTAGTAGATGACATTCGTTTTACAATTCGCACAGGCAATCTATCTTCAGTGTTACACTAGCACAGTTGTAATTGTAAGTGTAACTGCTGATCATGCGTGCGGTATATTGTCAAATAACACATGTAGTACCTGGGATTTATGCTCGCCCGCATCCTGGTTTGGGAGAAGTATGATTTGAATTGCCCATTTCGAATACGTCCAATTTCACGCACATCGCGGTAAGTAGTTCTCAGTTGAACAGGCTTTTTGTTTCCGATTCGCATAGCATAAGCGTTCGCTCTCTTCCGTTCCTCTCTATCTTCAATCATTCTCAGCACCATTCCATTTCCAAACTGGCGTTGTCATATCCACATTTATATTGTTGTTTTCTGTTCAAACAGGAGTGGTATTTATCAGAGCCAAACTTGTTTACCGTTCGCTTTGAATCATGCAGTCTTGGCTGTCGGTTATGGAACACAGGATGGTACTGACTATTGGATTGTGAAAAATAGTTGGGGATTGTCGTGGGGTGAGCGCGGTTACATTCGAATGGCTAGGAATCGAGGTAACATGTGTGGAATTGCTTCGCTGGCCAGTCTCCCGATGGTGGCACGATTTCCGTGATACGTTTCTGTTATTATGAAAACGCACCAAACAATAAATTTCATTCAGCTTTGCTTCATTTTCTCTCCTATTACCGTGATTGGGAAATATCAATAGATGTGTGTATATTCAACCGAACGAGATCGATATTTTCCCGATCCTCGTGCGTTTCGTTCACTACTGGAACATGGATTTTGAAATGAATGGTTATCTCTATTCGAATACATACACACGAGATCAAGTAGGAAATTATTGTTTCCAAATCTGGCGGATTTGTCGCTAAATGATTGTTTGATTTTATGAATTTGCAAGTGTATAAATTACACAACAAACATTTCGCAATAGCTTCGTCGATCTGGTTAAGTTTGTCTGGCATTAGTTTGATAGGATCTGATCTTCTCAGAGTTAGATCGCACCACATTTGCATGTTTCAATTTAGGTGGAATCATTGTATTCCAGATGACATTGATTTTACTGGTCATTTTGACCTCGTTATTTCCCGGGTACTTGAGTCGCTCCAATCATTAAGAGCTGAATAACGATGGACATTGTTGAGTAGTAATTGGATGATAGGTGTATTTTCTTGAAACGGCAAGCACTGTCTTGTGGTTGGGGGTGTAGGGGGTTAATTTCAAAATTAACCAAGTGGGTTTGGACAAAATGCCGTAGTTCTTCGAGATTACACTTTCCAATTTGCATACCACTACCGTGATTGCGAGGATGGCTAGTGGGAGTACACTATGCACATCTAGGTCAAGTGGCAACTTAATACACTGCAGATCAAGTTAGGTCAAGAAATGTAAATGCGTTTAGCACCTTGAACACTTTCTTGACTATTTACCACTCCCACATTTCCGGAACGGGCCGCGGCCAGTGCAAGGCTGCCTAATGGAAAGTGTCCGGCAGTCGTGCAAATCCAACTGAGGTCATTATTATTCAGAGTCCACGGTGATCAGCGCCGGAGTATTATATCATGTTGAGTCCATTTAATTCAGGCCTAATTAGTTGTAGCGAGTTTTCTAATATACGCAATCCTTGGACATGTATGCACGTTCCTTCTTTCTGCGTAGTTATCTGAAGCCTGTGAAGGAAACCAGATCACAGTGAATATAGAAAGTCTCCCACTAGCCATCTCCATGGGATATGTTCAAATAGCCAACAAGATGACCACAGTGTGTTGATGGACGCGAGTGTGAAAACATATATAATTCTGATTGTGCAATAGTGTGCGTCGGCTTTGATCATATTCCGTGCCCTCTGTTTCCACTGACTAAGATAGGTACTGTTTCATATCTCGGTACCACCATCCATGCAAATCTACTGCTTATGAGACGGGAAGACGCAGTTAATTATAAAATCATAGGCCTACTTCTCTCAGTATGTACCAATGAGGGTGTTGACCTCGGTTATCTTCGAACTCGGTTAGCCCCCTTGTTTAGCCGTTCTTCGGCGTGTGACCACGAATGCATGTGACAGTTTCGTGGAGCCATAGATCAGATCTGGATACCCGATCGAGACCCAAGAGATGGGAGATACCCCAAGACTACAAAAGTTTACCAACGCACACGTGCTACTCCTATCCGTCACCCCATAACAAAGAAACGAACCTCCATGTCTCGGCCCAAACATTGCATATCTGTTGTGGTAAAGGCATCGGGAAATTATCGTTGCAGAGGATGACACTACAACTGAAGTAACTTGACCACAACACATGTATTTTTCTTATTATTTGAAATGAAAACGACACGTTTACTGGTATTTTAGTAGTTTCCTATTGGGCCACTAAACCACAGGAAACCTCGCTTACCAGTGACGAATGTACCGTATGCGATATGGCGTTGAAGCAAATCACTTCAGAATGAATGAGCACGATAGCCCACAAAATGACGAGATGGTGATTTGGAACTGTCAGTCCCCAGTTGAGTTCTGGAAGCACAACACGTAGCCTGCCGGGCAGCGTTAGAAATCGTAACAGTATGGGACAAAATTCGCACTGACCATCGTAGTCAAGTCTTATCACGGATCATCTCGGATATATGAGAAACATAAACTAATGGGATTATTTCCGTAACCCAAGCTAATACTACTGGGGGATATTATCAAGCAATTTCAAGTTACGATAAATGAACGCGCACGACCTCATGAAGTTGCTTCGATCTATTTGACATAGAATGAGAGCATCACTTATTGACAAGAGATAATATACAAACTAAATTGACGCAACTCAATCAAGTGCTGCTCAGTTAATAACTGAAGATCATAGAGAGGCAAAGAAAAGGAAGATCAAAACAACAAAATGGATCGAGTGAGAGATAGGGAAGAATATAAACACCAACAAATATACATCAATATCACCAAGAGAAACGTCGTTAGAATAATCCACAAAACATTAGGAAAGAACATTAACATAGAGGGAACCAACCACAAATAAAGATCACAAATCGCATCAAAAATTAACATGAATCATCATCATCATCATCATCATCATCATCATCATCATCATCATCATCATCATCATCATCATCATCACCAACATCATCATCATCATCACCATCATCATCATCATCATCATCATCATCATCATCATCATCATCATCAACATCCCAGATTGTGAGGTTCTCGACAGATGAAATGATTGAAAGGCAAAACTATCAATTTGCTAGCCTCAATGAGGGAAAACAAATCACAACCATTGGAGTAATAATCCAACCTCAGTTCTTCTCTCATCCACAACTCTTGCGGTGCCGCTGGAATAGCCTCAACGACAGTAATAGCCGTAACTGCAAGACCTAAAGTTGAGATGATTACTTGGTACCATCCAGTTATTATCACTCACCTATCAATTGCAATCTGAGACACGAACACTGATGCTACTACGGTATGAAGTTTTCTAGATTGGTGCATTTCTACGCACTGAGGGAAATCTTCCGCCTCAATATCTCTTCCAATCTGTTTCTTTAAGCATAAAGAGGTACGTATGTGGAAAGTCCAAGAATGTGAAAATAAGAAGTGTCTACCCAGTCGAAATAATAGTCACAATGGTCCCAGTATAGTCCCTTTGAAACACCCAAAGGACATGGTAAAAATACTTCCGAACACACCAAGAATGCGTTGAGATATTCTTTTATGTTCATTTTTGGCGAATCAACATTTTAGTTTATCTTGGGATGTCAGTCAAATAACTTCCATTAACTTCCGTTTGAGGAAAGCACAGGACTTGGAAACGTCATCAAAGATAAATGGGATATCCCAGTCACGAACAGGTACAACAAGATTGCAATGTCTCCTCCATTTCTCTTCAACGTTCACATACGAGATGTTCTACAGAGTGCTTTGTCTGATCTCCAAACTGGTGGAGTTGAGTTCCTCCCACGGAATAAAGTTATACACTTCGAATATTTTCATGATATCTCCTTGATGAGTGACTATATACAGGCAGTTGAACGCGCTATGAACCGATTGGTGATTGAGTTATCCAGTTGTGGTATGCGTTTTGTGTCTTCCAAGTGCAAAATACTTTTACAAGATTCGTAGCTGCTTGTATTTGCACTCATTCTTAAGGGTGATCAAGCAGAGTTAGCTTACAAACTTGAAAATCTCGGTGGTTAGATAATAACCGAAAATCGTGTTGTGGAGAAGATCGAACCCCCAAATAGCGAGAACTACAGCAGCTTTCGAAAACCTGTGATACTTGTGGTGTCGCCACGATATCCGGCTCTCTCTTAATGGACAAGTGTACGTCACCATGGTTCTTGGTGCCTAACTCTACGTTTACGAGACGTGGCCACTTCGTGTTGAGGACAATCAGCGTCTTTCTGTGTCCGACAATCGATGCACCTGAAATATTGCTCGCTTCTAGTGGAATCATCGAGTGATTTCCTCAATGGATTTCCTCAGAAATGGATCCACCAACCCGACAAACTGACAAACGATATATGACTTATCTGACCTATTCGGCTTTACTAAAATGTCAACCGCATTTGATCTCGTAATATACTCTGAAGCTCAGATTGTGGTTATCTTCTATTTCCATTCGATTGAGGGCCCTCCAATCGGACCGCAAGATGGAAATCTATATTCAACGCGTGCAACACAGCGCAGAATACCCACACTTGGAAATTAAACAATTTTTGAGAAGTATCATTTTTGCCCTTACTTGGTGGATGCGACCTCTGAAAGACTGCACCATATGTGTTTGACTACGCTCCACAAGATGTTGGGATAATAGTGCCGATCATGGAGAGCCTTTATCGACGTTCAGAAGGTTTCATCAGATACCATTCGAGATCACGCATGGGCTTGGGGTCTAACGTTTCTTGTCCATTTAGTTAATCGTAATAACTTCGACAATATAAAATGTGATATTTATCATTCAAATATTGCTCCGATGTATGCTAGTCTCATTTTGATGCTAATAGCACAATGGAATAAGGTTTTATATATGTAGTAATCGCAATAGCCGAAATTATGTGGAGTACTAAATTCGCATTCACCCGGAACTGCGTAAACAAAAGTAGTAAGAACCCCAACGCTTACGAATAGCACGTTGATAGTATTACGGAACCTGTTTGTTTGGATGGTATAATTGGCAATCCCAACCGTCCTCACTGTCGAAATGTTCGCTTCGAATGACAATTTGTGGCATTGTGGGAAGCGAATATAGCATGTAGAATACACCAGAGCTGACGATAAGCAGAGACCAAATATTTGGGAAGAGAATGTAAAATGTACTCAAGAACACAACCTACGTCACGATCTCGGCCTCATCACATACGCATTGGAATCGAACCATTTCACTGATATGCAGTTCGAAAAACTCAATGCCATAAACCTATAAGAAACGTCATCCGCGTCCAATCTACACTCAAACTCATTTACTCACTCCGTATGGGATAAGAGAGACCACCAAACCGGACAGATAGTTTGGGAGTGCATATGCCAGTGGTTGGTTGATGATGATAATGACGGTGAAGATGAGGATGATGAAAATGAATGTGATAATGTTGATGATGATGATGATGATGATGATGATGATGATGATGACGATGATGATGATGACGATGAATAATATGTATTGGTTGATGATGTTGACGATGACCATGAGGATTCGAATGATAATGATGAAGAAGATGGCTTGGATGACGAATCGGAAATTGATTATATTGACCATGTCGATGAAGATTAGGATGATGCGTCGGATGATGATTATTCGATTTGTGATGAGGATAATCATGTTATTGAGCTTTGCAATGAGGATGATGATGATGAAAATGATGATGATTTTCATGATATAGCTCATGAAGAAGTAGGGAGTGATGACCATAATTTCGATTAATTACAAGAGTCGGATTATGATGTCGGGATTATTAATAGAGGAAGCATCTGGATTTTTTAAATGATGATGATCATGAGGATGATGTTGATGATGCTGATGATGATGATGATCATGATGATGATGATCATGATGATGATGATTGTCCGTTTCGTATGAACTAAACGTTTTCATACTGGCTACTAACAGCTTGTTAGTAGTCACATTCTACATGTGAATCTCTTCCAAATCATTCCCCTGTGTTGTTGGCACAAAGTTGATCATTTTACTGAACTCAGTCCCGACTCGTGATTGGTCCCTATTCCAACCTGGTGGTAGCATGACAATATGGTTATATTTTATTCACTTGGATTTGATCTTACTCTTTCATGTGATTTGAACTGTATGATCCGTTTCCCTCTTTTTGACATTGACCTGCATTTGTGCGAATGAACATATGAAGCTCCCGTCTGATTTAACAGCAAATTTGAATATCCACGATCTGTGTCTCGCTCGTTTCGATAATTGGCTGTATGTTTTGTTTGTTCATTTTCCATCACCGTTGTACCGATTATAGAACAGTGTTTCGGATTAAAACGTCTATCAGTTGAAGTCTTTTGAAATTTGTTCGAGACGCGAAGTAAGCCACACCGAGAAGGAGCACCCTTGAAAGGTTGAAAGCAGTTTGGTCGTACGAACCTGAGTGGAATTCAATCAAAACTGTCAAAGTTAACGGTCGAGAGGATGTCGGATACAATGGTGATGATCATGATGATCATGATGATCATGATGGCGAATGCGCTGATGGCAAATATGATGAGCATTATTCCGATAAGGATGCAGACGAAGATGATGATGATGAAGACGATTCGGCAGATGATGTTCATGATGGTTACACTGATGATGATTTGCATCATGAAGATGATGATGGTGATGATGATAATGATGATTCTGAATTTGGCGATGACAAAACAGATGTTGATGTTGACGACGAAGGTGATGTTGTTCAAGTTGATAAAGGCAATGCTGATGAATATGAGGATGAAGTTGATGCTGAAGATGATGCCGATTATGATGAGGGCAAAAAGCAGCTGAGGATAACAGTTAAGATGATGATGATGATGATGATGATGATGATGATGATGATGATAACGATGATGATGATGATGATGATGATGATGATGATGATGATGATGATGATGATGATAATGATGAAGATCATTCAGTTAGTCCACCGCTTCCTATCTAAAGTCCCTCAAGAAGGTTGCTGATGTACTACCGAACACATATGGCTTTAAGAGCGGATGCTGTATCTTGTTGAAACGAGACTGTGCGACAGGCGTCATTGCCTTCAAAGTAGGAGCTATACAATTTTGAAGCATTTTCGAATCCGACGTTTCTATTGCAACCCAGTAAAATTAAAATCTGGTTGTACAAGTGGCGCTTCCATCGGAAGATATGAACCGGTAATTTTTTTCTTCAATAATTCCTCCCCAAGCCATCAGCCTGGTTTTCTGTTAGCATTCCATCAACGGCAAACCACCTGGAATTATCTTGAGACCAATAGATTCGGGTGATTTGGATTCCAAGTACGTCAAGTATGGCTTCATCGCTAAACAAGGTGGACCGTACAATATAGTAACTGAGATACCAGGCGCAAAACTGAGGACGCTGGTCTGCGTTTTCTGTGCATACCCGTTGAAAATGATGCTCCTTGAATGGCTTTAATTTGTTTTCTCGTGGAATGCGGATCACAAATGATCGCAACAAATAACAACAGTTGACCAGTGCTCAGATGTTTCGTTGTTAGTGACCTCGAATGCATTCTAAAGCTTCTTGTGGCATATATTCGCTGGCTAGTTCGCTACTAATCGTGGTTTGTGTGCACGCGTGCACGCACACACAGACGCACTCACTCGGTCACTCATTCTTCAATCAAGACTTGTCTGCTCTGAGGCCCTTGTGACCGCCAGTCCATTAGGTCACACATGAACTGAACTCCGATACCGATGACAGTGGATCACATAGTCTCATGCACTTTACCTGACAATTCACTGTCTGTGAGCGGTGTCGCTTCGAGCGTTAACTATAAAACTGACCATATTTCAACTTTCGCACTCTCAGTGCGTGTAACAATCATGCAATGGTCGCAATGAACAATTATCATGGCCCCTCTAAACCACACAGGCTCTTTCGTTTGCATCTGCCGTTTTTAAAGAAACTCCGTTTCATAAGGCAACACAGAGATTTCGTGGGTAGGCTACGAGTAACCGCTTTCAAGCCAGTTGATTCCCTGTGTTTGAAGAGCCTTGGGATTGGCGGTGTCACTTGCAATTACGTGGAATTCACCCGATTCCACAAATACATCATCTGGATTTAAAATAATCTGGTGTTCTGCTGTGGTGTAGACGGATAGAACCAACTAGGTTAAATGGTGCAGTTTACGATCAACCATGGCATACGGTCACGATCTCACTCACACTACGCAAGTACACGCCTACATTTCCGGACGAAAAATGAGGATACACTAACGCGTTAGCACAAGATACCCTTAGTCCTGGGAGTTTCCATAAATTAATCCCGAAAACTGCGTAACTGTGAACGGTGAAAAATAACAGAATGAATGTACTTTGTCATCTCACAAGATCCCTTGATAGGTCTTCTAAGCGGAATTAGTCCCCTTGGTGTCACTCAGATTCCCAGCTTTGCAATGTCATGCAGATTGTCTCCCAATAATATCGGCATTGAGCGAAAACATCAATAAATACAAAGGGATGAGTTCTTCCTGATTTCATGGTTTTATGCTAACAACCAACGAGCTATGCAGTTTTTTGAACTCGATGGTCATTCATGCAAGCAAATCCTCTTATCTAACCGGGAATCGATGTGTGTCCCACTCCCGATATGGTTCCAGCCACCATATCTCATTTGCATTCATTTGGATTGTAAAATTGATTAGCTTCACAAAACATATTCCATCTAACTTGTTTCAGCTAACATTTCATGTTTTCACAATGGCATGCCAAGTTAACATTGTGTCACTAGCGTGGTACTTGAAGCTCTAATTAATCAGTTCAGGGCAAATATTCGGTTGTGCATTCTGGAATGGAAACTGTTTTAGCAAGGCACAACATGTTGCAGTTGGATCATTTCAAATCAGTCAAGCCCCACTTCACGAATTTGCATTCACGAAGTATCCGTCGAATTCACTCGGGACACAATTACGGTCTTTGTGTTCGTATAGGCTCGTGGTTCGCCTCCGTTACGCCACTGCTTTCGTATTGATGCCATTATGATCTCACGATATACGGCATACATTCTCACATCTGACTACCGACTCAAGCCCTCGTTGTTCATTCGACCTAGGGCATTTCATAAATATTTCGCTCGAAGACTTGTAAACGGGAGTATGGGGAAGAATCCAGACAAATGCTTGTCACAGATAGTCGTATCGGTACATACAGTATACCTACGATAAACAGAAGCCATACCTCATAAGAAAATTTCAACTGTTCCTCAATAAACTACTGGATACGACTTGGAAAATGCAAAGTTACTGAACACCCACCTCTGGATATTCTAGAATCAGTGTGTGTTTGAGAGAAAGGGATGATGTCAACTGAATTGTGAGCTTTCCTGTTCCACCGCATTCTAAACTTCTCAAATATTCGCAGATGGGTGAGTACAATTCGAATTCGACTCCGTTATTGTGTATCCTGTTTCTCATTTTGGGTCAGAGCATTATCATGTGCTTCCAGTGTGTTACATACTCCTAGTGCTATTCAGATGTGGAACAAAATGACCCTTACCTCTCGTACAGACCTTGTTATTATGTTCCGACTTCACACATGTATCGTATACGGCTTTACCAAAAGCACATGTGAAAATCAAATGTAACTCACATGAGAAAATATCGGTTAAAACGACAGGATACAGCCTTCCACACTGTTGGGCTTTCGGGCTCGAATGTAGGTAGCTATCATGACTGGTTGGATAGGCTTTTTGAATTACCTGATAATGCACAATAAATTGATCTATTAAGCTGCTGTCATGCTGCAGATTGCAATTACCTCATCTCCGAAGTGCTATCCTCTTATCTGAAAACAGAATCCGGTCGGACCAGTACTGAAATGTAGAGTACATACTTGTCTCAAATAAATGAGTCAAGTATATGGTTTGTGTTTGAGGGAATGTAGAGGGACTATTATATATTAGGAGTTCACAATCGACCACATATTAGATACAAGCTACCATTTGTCATCAAGAAGTTAGCAGCATCAGATCAACATTGCTTACAACACAGTCAGTTCGTAGTTGTAAATTAGGCAGTGGTCAGTCAACCTGACTTGAACAAGATGAACAATTTTGCAAAGTAATAAGACAATTCGAAACGAAACGAAGAGAAATGAAATAGAATGGATATAAGCAATTCGTGTTCTCAAGTCAAACGAATACACTTTGGTAGAACATTAAATTTATGATGAAACTGATGAAAATCGTCGGTTGTTCGTGAGATGAAAGATGGTGTTGGAGAAATTCAAGAAAACATCTGTGAGAATTAAAGTTCATATTGCGCCACCGAGCCGGCATGAGATTATACAACTGGAAAATTTCTGTACCATTTGTTCAGCAAACCGTAAACAGTGAGATTACAGGCGTTGTTGGCAAAACCAATCCACAACGAAATCCCCTTTGCCAAACTGGTCATCGGAACACCTCGAAAAGCTTCAACTATGAAACAAATGACACCTGGAGCGCAACACACTATGAAACATTAAATGACCACCAGTATCATGAGGTTTGTTCGGCTTTCATTGTTGAATCGAGATTATGTGCAAATACGTTGTTCCCATGAAAACGTGTTCAGTGTGGCGGAAGAACAATTTGACACACTAGAATCAATTGCGGGAATTTGGTGTTGAATGCGTCTTAGACTTCAAACAACGGGTTTGATAAATTATCCACTCTCATTATCTGTAGAAACGTGGTACCTGAAACAAGTTTTCATGAAATTTCTTATTGTAGCTTATCGAACACAAATAGTGCACACCAGAATAGATATATCTCGTCTGAACGAAATGATAATGATTACCTTCCAGCCAATCAATATATGGTGCAATATTTATGGATGTTTTCCAGAGCTGATTGAAACCGACTTGGTTCCTGGGGTACAGTGTACTCAAGAAATCTGTCATCTAAACTCTGTGGACGAAACTCACAATCTTTCACTGAAAAGCTTCTTAGTAAGCAAAATAGCACATATTACACAAAACTGGAGATGAAGTCCCACGAATGCAAGTGTGCTATTCACCAGTTAAATTCATCATGAAATTTGGGAGCTAGTGAAAAGAATTAGTGGACTAAACCAAAATGTCATTCAGATTCAGGGTTCTATGCTGCGGCACTGACGATAAACAAAGGGTGCCTATTGAAACTTCTGTCACTGATTTATTCCTTGGAAATGTACGTGTTGCTTATATCCGGTATATATGATAAAACCAACGGTAGTCATCTGAATTCAGTTTCATTTAACCTTCAGCGAGAACAACTTCGTCCAGACAAATTCTGGTTCATAAAATATCACGAATTATTGATAATTATGAAATCCATCACACTGATGACAAATAAGCACACTTCATAATTGCATTGCATCTGGTACACATCAACTGTCTTGAAGATATCGATATAAGTCTTGTTGCATCAAAATTTCTCTAAAATAGGAACTCATGGTTCCGGTAAGTTTTAACGTGGTCACTGAAGTATCTCACTTAATACAGGTATATATTTGCCCCGACAAAGTCTAATTTTTACCCCGCGGATATGGTGAACCTGTGAGAACTTGTCTTCTTCTTCACAGAGCTGACTTCAGTCGTGTCGAGGAAAAAGTGCTGCATTTACACTCAAGGGGTCAATCTGCGACCCAACGAAAAGCCGTTTTCTGACCACATCTAGCATAGGTGAATAGCTCACACGTTGTTGCCGTCAAAAATATGCATCATCGTTTCAACGGTTAACCGTTCCTACAATGTAACACAGTTCTAAAAATCTGTTTCTCTTCCACGTATGCACGTAGCAATTAATGTCTGAAAGTAGTCCACTGTAGTACACCAGTGAACAACCTACTGAATGATACACCTTCCTTCATAACTTGCTTTCACATGTCATACATTATCATTGTGTAAGGGTGATGTTGAATTTATTGTTGCAGCTACGCGATTTGCATGCTGCTCCTGGCTAGAAGGTATTTACTGTTTGATATTTAACATCAACATACACCATTGTATGAAACATGTCTAGTGTTATGCTTCAGGGTAAACGTATTGACTGATCTACATTCTTGTGTGACTTGCTTGTTACTACCAATCTGAACATAACATAAGGGGAAAGATTTGCACACTGTGTTAAGATTTCATGTAGATTCCCTAAGGATACTTTTCATCATCTCGAAATGGAAAAGCGGCAATAAATACGAATTGGTGTACGTCATTCGAAAAGTAGCTACTTATGGGGCGTCGCAATTGCCTCAACCTTTCACTCGTCGTGTCATCAGTTAGGTGTGTTTTCTGTGCCTGTGTCATCTAATTCCGTTTCTCAACCCTTCTTTTTTAATCAGATGGGTTGTGATAGGCATTCAACACGGAACAGGTTTGCAACCGAAAGAAACACTGTAACACTGAAACTGATTTGAGAGAGATCAACTGATCGACGTTTATACAGCATATTCATATTCATCATGCAGCTTCAACGCTCACCTCACCACTAAACACCATGGAAGCTGCATGATAGATCATACTATACAAATCTAATCTCCACCCACTCAAATTCACATATTTATATTCTTCGGCTGTCTAACTGTCCTTTGGACTCCACCTTTGACTTAAAAATCTAAGGTCACCCGACCAGCCAAGTACTCAGAAACGCCGGGATCAGGTATGGCTGAAGATATGCACCTTTTGATGAAATCTAACAAGAGGGAAACTCAAGTCTCGTGTTTCTGAGTGCAAGGTGAGTCGGATGACCTGTCGCTTGTGCGTGAAAGGTGGAGTTGAATAGACATTCAACCAATCAAAGTAGTTATATGCGTTCAATCATCAGAAGTATCCCTTTCACTTTTCTATGCCGTAGATATAGTGCTGTTTATTGTGTTTGTTGTACACGCGAACGTTAACATTAAACTGCATACACTTC